AATTATCCAGTTGGCAAGTGTTGCTTGAAGTGAATTTTTATAAGATTTAATAAATATGAATATATTATGCAAAACTGGCTCTTAGTGTTTATTTAATTTTTGTTGAGATAGAATTCAACTATCTTTAAACTGAAAAAGAAAGTTACTGGGATTTGTCTTTAATTTAAAAATTCTATATAGGGATGAAGCAGTAATATTGTCTGAGATCAAACAATAAAAAATATTGAACGATAATGGTTTAGTCCACTATGGTCTGCCAAAAATCTGCCTTTATATTCCTTCATATGAGAAATATTTGGATGACCTGATGATTGAATTGGTTAAAGTCTTAACATACTGCTACAAGGAACCTGGTAAAAAAAACCCAGGAATTTTTTCCATAGGTTTTTTTCATATCCTGGATATGTTGAGTCATGTTCCCATTGTAGGTATGGTAAAACCATGATCAATGTGACTAAAAAAGTCCTTTCAGTGTCTAGAGGATAGAGAGTAAAAACAAAAGAATTGAGGAGTAAAAACTGGTACTAAGAAGGCTTTTTTCTATCATACCTATCATGAGTTTGGTCAGACCCACACTAAGGACACCTGGATAGTAAGAGAAATAACTCCCCAGAAAATTCCTGGAGTTGCTTGCCCAGATTGGCTCATAAGTTTCAGAGCAACAGGCTGAACCTTAACCACTTCAACCATCAAGCTGTCATGTAAAAGCTGATCATTTAAGGCTAGTTACTGTCAGGAAGGATGCTACACAAGGCATCCTGCTGTTATTTAATGATGAACATTTTCTGTTTTATAATAGCAATAGAAAGATGTGAGTATTACATGAGGGTGTTTACACCTAAATCCCAAATCTCTCATCTTTAAAAAGATGAGATATTCAGAACCAGGCTCTTCTATATCAGGCTGTATATATTTATGTATGTTGTTAGTTTTCTGATTCTAATACATTTGTCCTCTTTTTGGAATTTTTTTTTTTGACACTACTTTGTGGTCAAACAAGTGAGGCATTGGTTGTCATATGTGATAAGCTGGTGCCTGTTTGAGAACTGAATTATTTGTCTGGAATTTGCCATGTGACCAGCAATGTGTATATCAAATCATTGCAATGACTGCAAGAACAATTTCTTTCCTATGGTACAAATTTCATGTTTTTGAATACAGTATTTGCAGATGTTTGCAACAAGTATTTGAAGTGTAAAATTTTTACAATTGATAGAGATTATGGCTACTGATTACTACAGTATGATTCAAATCATTTCTGTCTAAAATAAATTGTGCAGACATGTATTATGTGAATATAATTTTTAATTTTAAAATCTTGTTATAATTTTGTAAAAAAATTCTAGCTAGCTTTATTACATTTAAAGTTTGTATTATAAACTTGATTTCCTGTTTGCACCAAAAGCTTGTATATAATTAATTGGGGCCTCTTGCCCATTTCATCTATCTATCTCTGTTCTCAAGATTAAGGAAAAGACAGACAGACAACAGCGGAAATTTATAGATCTACAATTTTTTTAAATTGCAGCCCAATAAATATAAATTCTATATTACTTTCATTATTATTCTGGTTTATTTGTTATTTAAATTCCTGTTTCCAAACATAATACCTCCATAATTAGTTAAAAATATTTGTATTAAAATAACTTTAATTACTACATAAAAATTTTACAATATAATGATATACTATTGGGCATTATAGTTCTTTTATAATGGCCAATATCATTATAAAAGAATTGAAATGATTTTAGAAACAAGCCAATGGTCATCAAAAATTGGATAATTGATATCAAGATATATATATATACATATATAAATATAAAAAGTATTAACATAATTAGAAGAAACAATAAATGTCTTTTAACACTTGTCCTTTTTAACACTTCAGGAAGACAGTAATGTTTACAGTTGAGTCAATGTTTTATTTGAGGCTATGCATCTGTCTCCATATGGAAAAATACTTAAAAAAATTCTAGGGTAACAGCACAATCAGAAAAATTTATTAATAAATAAAATTGCAAGGCCAAGAATGAAATATTGGAAGAAACAATATTCTACCAATCTCCATATTTTGTCATTTTCAACATCTCAGGAACATCAGTCTTTATGGAGGAGTCAACCTACTTATTATTATATTTTTGTAATTGTGCCATGATCCTGGAGGTGGAAGAGTAACCTCAAATAAAAGATTGACTATGCCCTAAAGACTGGTGTGTTTCTGAAGTACTGAAATGAATGAAATATAGAAACATTTATTGTTTCTCCCAATTATGTGAAAACTTTTTATGTTTCATTGTTGTCCTGGCAATTTTATTTACCTAAAATATAATTTTTAAAATATTTTACTTCAGAGAAACTATAAAACATCTTGAACAGAAACTAAAACTTTTTTAACATTTCTATTTTTGAATTTTTCCTTTGTGAACTCAGTTCTAGAGGAAAATTCTGCTGCTTTCATTTGTTTATAGTATTTATAACCAATGGTTACATGTATTATAAACAAATACTATGAAATTAAGATGACATCTACCACTATGGAGACCTGGAATCAAATCTGGGCAAACCAACTGAGATCTTTTTCATGTAAGCCCATGGCCTTTCTCTCATTCATTGCCCCCATTGTGGGTGTGAACCCATGATGGGTATGAAATAAGGGCCTCTTAGTGCCCAAAAAGCAGAAAAATAGATAAATAAAAGTATTTGTAACCAAATTTCAGCAATTTTACTCTTAATAAATACATATGAGGAAAGCATTGTCATCACAAAAATGATTAAGGAAAAAAATTTTGTACCATAAAATCAATCTTAAAATTGTTTTTAATTTCTTTTAAAGAAGCAATCAATTTTGAATAAAGAAATGTTGAAATCTTATCTGTTTTTTGTTGGTTTTGTTATTGTATTAAGAAATTCTCAAATATAAAATATTTCTATAAAATTTACTGACAGTTTGAAAGCAGCAATTTTATTAGAAAAAACAGAAGATGCTTTTTAAAATATTAAAACAAATTTTGAAAAAAAAAATTTCTTGTATTCTAATAAAAGTAATGTTTACAAATCATACATTACAAATATATAAATCATCACTACTACATGATATTAATAGTTGACACCATCAAAAAGCACTTAAACTGATTTTTAGTAATGTTAAGGTGTGTTGCAAAAATAAAGTGACCCCAATATTTTGGAATAATAAATTTTTATTACACTTAAACAAAAAATTAGTGACAGGAATAAATGTAGATGTAAAATAATTACTTATTCTATTTACAATCAAAAATAAAAATATAAATTTGTAATTCAAAAATCAAAAATAATAGAATTGGAAAAATATAAGGCCAGTGCATTTAATAACCAGTGAAACCATTTTACAAAACAACCTCGTAAACCCTATCTTTCCTACAGTTAACAATATTTTGCAACATATTAACATTAACTTTTCTCTATACAATAACTATTACAGCTTTGAGTTATTCAATAATGTGGTATTGTCTTTCTCCTGCATACATATCCTTGGCCATTAGATTTCATAGACTTTCTATGGAATTCAAATCTTAGGAATAGGGAAGCCAATCCATGACCTAAATGCCATTATCCAGTAATCTCCAATAAAGTTTTCTAAGTTTTCTTTGTGGATTGGTGAATTATCTTGTTGCAATTGCCAGAATGGACTACCAATTTTTTCTCCAAATGTCAGAAGATATACATCCAAAAAGTTTTGATATGCAATTGCCTTCATTCAGCCATTTATTAATGCTAAATTGATTTTTCAGACCATCCAAAATCTGCCCAGATCATGACTGAGTCCCCTTCTTTCTGATGTTTGGCAAACAAAAACTCCTATCTTATAAGATCATGCAAATAAAATTGCTAACCATTGGGACTATCCAAATTGAACTTTTTCTTATCAGTACAAATAAGTTCACACCATTTTGAAGTCCATGACATTTACTTTTGCCCATATCAGTCTTTTTTGTTGTTGTTGTTTTAGATATGGTGCTGCTTTTCTATGTTTATGCACTAGTTGTTCTGTTGATTTTACAATCTAGGAAAGTGTGGATTTGTGAACATTAATATCAGGTCTATGTGCTATTTCACCTACTGTAATGTTGTTCCTGTTATTTCCCAGATAATTGCTATTTCTGCTTCCTTGTCAACTTGGAAGGCCATCCAAGTTTGTTTTTTGTTTCCATATTGCACACTAAGTTTAATAAATTGATTACAACACAATGAAATCCCTTCAGCTGCTTTGTTATAACTCTAGCAGAACTTCTAGCCTGATGGAGTGCCATAATTCAGCCACACTCAAAAGCAGTTTAGAACTTACTTCTACCCATTGTTATTAGTCATTACAACAATTAATGGTGTTATAAATTCAATTATGCCTATTTGTCATTATTATGCACATCATCTCTTTATAATTATTAAATTATAGGTGATAGTGAATTTTGATAAATCGCTCAAAAATGCAAAAACTGGCCTTATATTTTGCAACACCTTTATTTTTGATTTTCTGAAATAAAAAATTTTATTTTTATTTTTGATTGTAAATAGAATAAGTAATTCTTTTACATCTGCATTTATTCCTGCCACTAGTTTTTGTTTAAGTGTAATAAAAGTTTATATTTCTGAAAAAATTGGGGTGGTCTTATATTTTTGCAATGTACCTACCTAAAGTACAAATAAATCAAATATTATATATCAAACCCATTATTTTTTGTTTTGTATTTATGTTTAAAATGATGGAATATTTTATTTTTGTAAATTTACTGTAACATGTACTGCTTTTTGTGACTATTAATTACACAAAAATGCTTTCTTGATTATTATTTAATTTTTGTATTAAATTTCTTTACAACATAATTTCAATACAAATGAAATATTACAAAAAAATCTTTTATGTAATAATTAAACATGCAAATGGCAAATGAAAAAAATCAATACTTTTTATGCATAAATTTTTCTTTATGTGAATGATTATAATAAAAAATTTTACATCCAGTTATCATAATTATTTAAAACCTTAAAAATGGTGAAAATAAAATACAAATTTTAAAATATTTTTCTTGTTTATATTTATGATATTTTTTCAACAATTATTGTAAAGAGAAAAATTATGTGGAAAGAGACACACTATTGCACGACATACAAATACTTTGGCACTTTATCAACAGCTCATAGATCATTTAGGGAAAATATGACAAATGGCAATTCTAATGTTATGCCATCAATCCTAAAAATATCAGGAATATCTGTTCATGAGGATTCTAACTAGAATGCCATTATATGTAATTTTTGTTAAGTAATAGAAATTGATACTAAATTTTTAACAAAATACATTAACAAGTAAAATGTAGTTTTGATACATGAAATAAATATGATGAGGTCAAAATGCAAAATGAATAAAACCAGGAGTGATGTAATAACAGAAGACAATATATTATATAGTTTTTACTCGATATTCTTATTTTCAGTTTTTTGACTATAAATCTGAAAGTATTCTTCTGAACATTTCCAAGAAATAGAATCAAAAACTAAAAACATCATAAATTGGAAGAAAATTAATTTCTACTAAAAGTGATAATTTGTAAAAAAAAATTTGTGTTCAGAAAGTGGCATTTCTTTGGGGAAGAAAATGATTCTATCATAAAAATAAATGTCAATCATCTAGTTTCCGTTTAGGTTTCTTTGGATTTCGAGATCTACTTTTGGCTTTACAGAGGGGGCAAATAGGAGCATTTCTATGGATTTGTTGATGACAAGAGAGGCAAGACTGAAAAATTAAATTATTTAAAATTAAAGCATTTTAAAATATATAATAACATATTTAATCTTATTACTAACCTTCATTGGAGGTGGCTGTTGTCTAAATGCTGTAGGCTGTGGTCTGTCTTGAGTTTTGGCTCGACCCATCTGCATCTGTTGAGTGGCAGCACTCACTGCAGCTAATGAGGACGGAAGTGTAGCCTCTGATACTTCACTTTGCCATTCAGTTTTCTGCTTCTCAAAAAATCTATTAAATTAAAAATTAATTTCAAACATGCTAATAAAATAAAAATAAAATTATTAGATACAAAGCAACTAATAATTAGTTAATTAATATGTAAACATTACTCAGGCTTAAAGTTTTCATCTTCTTCATGCAATTCTGGTAATTTTGTTAAACCTATGTCATTACGCATACTATCAATTAAATCTTTTAATGGTTTATATTCATGATGAAGTTGTTTTGCAGTTTCAAGATGCTTATTACGATCTTCTTCAGATTGTTTTATGACATTTTCCATCTAAAAGAAATTAAAAAATGATTCATATTGTAAAATTTTACCAATGTAAAAACTGAGATACTTAAAATTATTAATATACAGTTTTGATGAAAAAATTTAGTTACATTTACCAATAATCAGCAAATTTGTTATTGTTAAATTTGTGGACATGGTATTCATCTATTTGCATCTTATAATTTCACAATTAAATACTGTATTAGTCAATGTTTTTTCACAGTTTTAGAGACAAAATAATTGCTAACAGTAGTGTGTTCACAGACAAATTCATGACATCTCTGTTTCTAATTATTTCCTGGTCTAATAATAAATTTAACTTGTAAAAATTTATATTCAAAGTTATGTATTTACGATCTAGTAATTTAGTTATTTATATATGCCATATTACCATTGAAAAATATATCAATATTTTCATTACTTATTAATCATAATTTCATTATATTTAATTACCACATTGATATCTGCATGAATCTGTCTCAATTCTTCTACATGTGCCATCTTTTCTTGTAATAACAATTCCATTTCGTGACGATAATCTTGAAGGCACTTCTCTTCATTTTCTGTAGCATCCACTTCTTGCCGCATTCGTACTTTTAATTTTTCTAATTGAATTGTACGAGACCTAAAAATCAGAAAGTTATTCATGTTAAATTTAATTAAATAAAGATAATTAAATAAATGTGTAGAAAAAAAATGATGATCCAAGAAAAGCCTACAATTTATAATACACAAAAAGCAAAGTACTAATATAGAGAAAAAATTAAATTTATATAAATAATTTAAATTAACTTTAAAGCAAAGAAAAAAAAACATAAAAGAAAAAATGAACAAAATTTCCATTCTTTTGAAAGAGAATGTTTCAAAAAGGTAAGAAACTTATAAAAAAAAAAATATGTTCAATTTATTCAAAAGTCTAATAATAATAATAATGTGATACAAATGTAAAACACTGGATGCCAAAAAATTATCTTCACAACATCTATCCTATATAAAAAGTTAACCTGGTGGTTTAGAAAATACAGCTGTCGCACTTTAAAGAAAAACTAAATAAATTTTTTGAATACTGATTTTTTTTTTTACAAGTTATGTCATCTCATTATCATCAAGACAAGAATCATGTTTTCTGATAAGGCAACATTTCATGTTTCAGGAAAGATTAGAAAACAATCTGAGTCTCTCTCTCTGAAAATTCAAAAATTCACATTCCATGTCCTAGCATATTAGAAGCAGTTGAAAAGTTAGTGTATGATGTTACCTGCTACATGTTCATATGCCTAAACTCTGTTTCTCCAATAAACCAACAGTACTTCCAACACTTTCCTATACATACTGTAACACTATCTGTAATTAGAAGAATAGCAACTTTCCTTTTCCAAAAATTTAATTTTTGGAAAAGGAAAGTAACCTATATCCTTTCCATATTCCTATATCCTATTTAAGCTCTTTTATGGCCAATTCTCATTGTGATAGCTTTGTTTATTGTCATTCTTGCCTACGCACTATGACATAAGATCTTTTAAATAACATTCAAAACCATAATCAGCTGAACTGTCAGAAATATTGTTCGAAATATTCGATATTGAAATTTGTAAAACCGTCGGAATATCATTCAGAAAGCTTAAACTATTGTATTCTATGTACCGCCTGATGATGGTAGTTTTACACTACTGAAAGTGCTAGCAGATAAGATCTTTCCCCAAAAATCGGATAAATTTCCATGTCCGGGACTCCACTCCTGTAACGCCACTGCACATGTTATAGTGATCCTATATTCCTGATTTATATGAACAGTTTCAAAGAAAGCAGTTTAGCTTTTCTCATATGATTCCCAAACAGACAGCATGAATTACATTTCATTGAGTTTTTTTGTGATTAAAGTCAATGGTTTACTAGAAAAATTACATGGATCTTTTAACAACTACAGATGAAAAAGAATATAATTTTTTAAAAATTCTCTTTGACCATTCCGAACATTTTGTCATTGTCCCGAGATAAATACAAAATTTTTGCAGAAGTTGTTTGCTGTAAACTAAATTGAGATGATGATAGCTAATGGATAACTGAAATAACTGAACAGTAATAGGTTTATACAAACTTGACTAATATATGAATGATAATTACTTCTGAGCATGATATTTACCTCTGGGGTCAAGATGTACTGATTAATCATTTGCTAATCATTAATCATATTAATTGACTCCTCCATTGATTAATAATTACCTGACGATTACTTTTCCAGTAATTGAAGTAATCGGTAAATAAACATTCCACCTTATTACTTTTTAAATTTAAAATTATTAAATTAACATTGAAAAATGAATGGCATTTAAAGAAACAATAGCTTAATCAACAATAATTCAGGCTAGTCATGGCAACATATCCAGTTCTGTTAGAAATTGCTAGCTTTTTGCATCTGTTTTCTCAGTCTGAAATTTTTATTCATTCAAATTGAAAATATCCTATTATGGTATTAATAAACTTTTAGAAATATATATTTCTTAAACAATAAGTTTCATCAATTAATTAATTTTCAGTACATCTACCTACTTTTGAAAAAAATTTTTCATTTTTAAACAAGTAGCTTATTACATTGACACTTATTTCATATTATTTTGTTAACTACATGATACTTGTAAGACTGACTTATAGAAGTAATGTGACTTAAGTCAATTTATTGGTTAGTAATGGAAAAATGCAACTGCCAGATATATTTGTTCTTGAATCTATTTGCTCAGTAGACTGTACTGAGCAAGTGGTTAATGCTGAAGTGACTGTGGTAGCAAGGGATAAACAGATATAAAACAAAAACTCTTAAACTAACTATTGAAGATATTAAAGAGTTTGCACATTCTTCTTATAAGATTGCTTAACCTTACCTAATGATGCCAATATCTAAGGTAAAGGAACCTTATCTTAAGCAGATAAGAGAACTTTTGCAATTTTTTAAATAATTATATTATGTTTGTTATATCATCATAACTAAACATGGCTTCTATACCAAAACTATAGTTTTTATTTGGTTCTCAACAAGAAATTTGAAGTATATTTATAAGAAACTTCAATTTAAAAAGCCTGTAAGGACCATGAACAACTTTATAATGCTTGCTCTTTAAAACACACAAAATAATAATTTCATTGATAATTTTTATCATTTTACATTTAATCATTTAATAAGAAATGATAATTTTAAATTAATACATTTAAGTTATTTTCATAATTCATTCATTTTAATTAAAATATTTATATAGAAAAGAAATAAAAGTGTAAAATTCTCAATCATATAAAGAGAAAATGACAACCTCAAAATGGCACTTCAAGACAATTGTCTTGAAGTGCCATTTTCTCTTTGTATGTTTGAGAATTTTACATCATCATATACTGCCCTGTGATTTGTCTAAAATACGGATCTTACACTATTCGGTTTGCAATTTTCAATTTCAGACCTATAAATTCCCACTGCCAACAGATGAAATTTGGGACCAGATATGGAAAATTGGGGCTGCCTGTAAGCTAACTATATAAAACTTGTTTGGACCAAAAGTCACGTTTTAATTTAAAACTTTTCTCCAGAGCAAAATTAGATAGATGACCAGTATGACACTGTTGTTGACAGGAAAAGTATGATGTACAGGGGCAAGACACTACTAAAATCGAGAGTATATATATTTTAAATTAAATAAATTAAAAATATGACTAAAAATTTCAGCCAAGCATTATGATGATGTCACAATAAATAATTATTTTGCATGGGATGCTCCTTATATTTTTTTCCCTTAAAAGAACTCTTCTAACCTTGAAATGTCACAAAGTAAAGTTAAAGAAAAACTGTGTTGTGCAAACACTATTAGCTGTATAATAAATTATGTAAAATTAGCAATTATTTATTGTGACATCATCACAATGCTGGGTTGCAAATTTTTATCATATTTTAAATTAAATTAAAATATATGCTTTCTACCTCAAATTAGTAATGGCTTATCCCTGTATATCATACTTTTCCTTCTGGTTTGCGTTGGAAGTTCTTATATAGATCAGGATCTCCTGCCCTTAAGGTTTCCATATCTGGTCTTGTCTTTCATCTATCTAACTCTATTCTCAAGATTCAGGAAATATGGATGAACAAACAACAGTGGAAATTTTAGGTTTACAATGTTTTCAAATTGCAGCCTAAAAATATTGCTTTTATATATGATGAAATTCACTAAGATGCGAAAAGAGGTTAAATGTAATTGTGAGGATTTGAAAGTAACAAATTAGTTTTATGAGTTAAATATTTGATAAAATAATGAATAATTTAAAGTAATAATTTAATAGTAAAATCACACACTTGTCACCTTATTTAGATGAGACCTATGTTGAAGGGAAGTAAAACTTCCTTTTTATAAGATCTTACCACACATCTCCTCAGAACATCTGTCATCTGAGTCAGGTGAAATATCCTATTAGACATAAGTTCATCCCATCAGATGATACAAATTGCAAAGTGCGATTGGAGGAATTTTTCTATAAAAAGGGTAAATTTCCCTTATTTGTGGCAGTCTGTGGTTTCAAAGAAACTGCCATAAGGGAGAGACAGCTATAGAGAAGGGACAACCATAATCCACAATAGTCATAGAGAAGAGGATTGTAGACAAGAGGACAGCCATTTGAAGATTCACCCCTAAAGGAAGCAGTCAGGCATAGAAGTTCCATCTTGCTACCATCCAGCCATCCTCCGTCTCCATATGTAGAGGTCACAGATCAGAGGTATTGTTACGTAAAACTATTTAAACTCTTTCTCTTTCATGGTAGATTGGGATTAAGGGTTCCATAGTCAACCCAAGTTATGTATTTTTATGTTTATCATACACCCCGGTTCCCCTCACATAATACCATATAACTCTTTTATAACTTTTTTGCAATTTTTAAACTGAAATGATTATGGCCATCATTTTATCTGAGTTTTCAGTTCTCTAAGATAGTATCAATCCACATTATCTCAGATAATTGAAGTTCTACTGTAATAAAATAAAGACAAAACAAGTTTTAATAACTTAAAAACGTTTTTGAATGCTTTAAGCGATCATCCTCAGTTATTCTCTTGAATCGAATGAGAAATTCGAAAATTGTGCAAAACAAAAATTTTTGAATTTTTGTTTTGCGTAATTTTTGAGTAATTTTCTGTTGATTGAATGTCTTTCTGTTGATTCTGTTGATTGTTGAATGTCTTTAAAAATGCATTTTCTTCATTCATATCACAACCTTTTTCTCAAAAATCTTGTAGATGTTAGTGATAAAGTTGGCAAAAGATTTCACCAAGCCATACTTTTCCACCATGAAAAAGAGATGTCATGGAAAAGTCACATGGATCCAATGATGCTGTGATTACTACTGGTTTCTTGTGAGACTTTTAAAATAATTTTAATATGTACTTTATCAATAAAAAACAGATAAATCATATTTATTTTTTGAAAATAACATCATGATTTATTCTCCTGTGATCCCATAATTCTTGAAAACAGGAGAACAAGAGGAAATCAATATCCAAACAGCTTTTCTAAAGGCAAGTTTATATACACTTTTAAAACATTTGCATGTGCTTTATTTAATGTTTAAGATGCATAGCAGTGTACACATCACAGTATGGAGTAATGGAATGTAAGTTAGAACAGCTGCTTTTGGTGCAAGGCTTTTAATATCCTGCAGGATCAATACATGGTCCAGGTTCCATGTAAAAAATGTGGATTCCCATCCTAATATATCTGCCAATGTTCAAAACAGTGTAAATAGAGAAACAAAACCATATTAAAATGACTTTCATAGGTACATATGCTTTATCAACTTGCTAATTGCTATATATATTAGTATATAAACAAAGATGTGTTTGTATACTAATATATGTCTGATATTGTATGACAGGAAAATTTGGAAATGATTTTTGAGAACTTTTTCTATTGGGATCACTTATTTTAATGCTAGAGAAATAAAAGAAAACTTGTTTGGTAATGTAATTAAAACTTCAAACTGCAAGATCAATAGTTTGTAGATGCAACATTTCTACAGTGAAGTCATCAGTCCATTTTCAAAATATTCCTTTTATATATGGTATTACTGATTCATAGCATATGTATCAACAGATATTCTTACAAAGAAATATGTCAGTGATAAGAGATTTTAATTAAATTCAGATTAGTCAAGAAGTTTTCTCTGGATTTTTAGAAATTTGTAAACAGTGTATTTCCATCAATCCTTTTTGGAAAATTAGAAAAGATATTTTAAAATAGTTGCTACTTTTATCTTTTTTAATGAAAATAAAACTTATTTTTAATTTGAAATAATACAAGGTCTGTTCAAAAAGTATCGGACCTTTTTTTTTTCCGCGTAAACCAATGATGCGCGAGAGGCCTCCTTTGGTGGAGTTGTGGAGGGGACAGTCATGCACATCTCTGAATTTTTTCCCGCCTGCAGGAAGCGTCAGTCGTTGGCAATCGGCCTATGAGTGAGGTCATGTAGAGCGCTCTCGTCGGATTCCACTAAGCTGGAAAATGACTGAACAACGTGAGCAGCGATATTACATTAAATTTTGCCAAAAACCTTGGCGATACCCAAGCGTAAACCATCCGCAAGATTCAGCAGGCTTTCGGGGACGATCCTCGAGGCCAAAAAAAGCGCGGCAGGTCAAAGGTCAAAGCGCAGCAATATTAAAGGTCATGTTGACAGTTTTTTCGACTCTCGTGGGGTGGTGTGTCGTGAGTACGCACCACAAGGCCAAACCATCGCAAAGGAGTACTACCAGNGGTCCGCAGCAATATCAAAGGTCATGTTGACAGTTTTTTCGACTCTCGTGGGGTGGTGTGTCGTGAGTACGCACCACAAGGCCAAACCATCGCAAAGGAGTACTACCAGGAGGTCCTTCGTCGTCTTTCCGGTGCTGTGCAACGCAAACGACCGGATCTGTGGTCAATCAAAACTTGGCAGCTCCATCGTGATAACGCATCCGCCCATTCTGCGCATCTGATTCGGGCTTTCGTCGCCAAACATAACACTCTTGTGGTTCGTCACACTCAGTACTCTCCCCACATGGCTCTGTGTGACCTTTGGCTATTTCCCCAGCTGAAAATGCCGCTAAAAGGAACCCGAATTTAGTCGAGAGAAGACACCATGCAAAATCCGACGGAGCGGCTGATGGTCATTCCAAAAGATGCGTTCCAGCAGTGTTTCCAGCAATGGCAGGAACGCTGGGAGAAGTGTATACATTACCAAGGAGACTACTTTGAAGGGGATTAGGGTTTTGTATCTCAAAGTCAATAAATTTTTTTTTACCGACCAAAGGTCCGATACTTTTTGAACAGACCTTGTAAACACAAATTAATCTTTTAGATTTAACATTACTATTTTAAAACAGAATTCGAGTCATAAGTTTAAGGCTGTTATTTAATTATGATTTACAGTATATCATTTTCCATAAATTTGTCAAAATTCAGAAGTACAAAAAAGTTATAGTAAGTAATAACTGATTACTTGCTTGCTTGAATTGTTTCTATTAGAGTCAATTTAATGCCTATAATTCTTTAAACAGTTAATTATTTAATTCACTCAGAAGCTATAATACATTCCTTCAAGCATAGGGTTTTATAAGTGTAAATTTCATTCTCTGTTCATTTATACAATTTACTGAAATATTTGACCTCAATGATAATTAATGTGAAAAGGCAAAAAAATATTTACAGGCAGTTTAAATAGAAAAGACAGAATTCACAGATAGAAAACTTTCTCACTATTAAATGTTTAACACTATTAAATGTTTACTGCCCCAATACGGAACAGTAAACATGTCTTGCTAGAACTCTCTCCTTCATTGAACTTTCCAACTAATAAAAAATGGAACTCTGAAATTTCACAGGAAATTAGAAAATAGTTCAAGATAAAAGTAATTCATGATTTAATCATAAAAAGTAATTTTTATATTTTGTAAATAATGTAAAGTAATGTTCATCAAGATTAATTTTTAATTGCCTCAGATATTCAAATTATATTTTAAAATTTTCTACAAGTCATTGCAAAAAATCCCAATATAATTGTATTGGATGATAGTGGCATAACCAGAAAGTCTTTTTGGGGATGGTCACTTCTATTTAGGAATTGTGAAATCCTATTAAGAAGTCTTTTTATTACCAGCAGTTCAATGACTCATATTTTCTTCTTTCATTGAAACAGAATTTGTGTTCTAAGATGGTAAAGTAAAAAAATAGCATACTATAAATAAAAGTTAAGTTGTAATTTATTGAAATAAAAGAGATACTAATATGCTTAGATAACTGCTTTTAAACTACACTCAATTTTTAGATTTTTTTTTTGTAAAGATACTAGTTGTTGTGTTGTCAGATTCTGCTTGATCATGTGGCTCTCAACATTTAACACAACCAAATTTGAAAACTCTTCCCTGATCATTGTAGTTTTTGTCAAATCCTAAAACATCTTGCGGTGGAAAAATTCTTTCAAAATCCAGAAAACATCTAAGAAACAACAAAATACTTTAATAGATAGCATATCATTCAGATACAAATTAAGATAAGTGTAAAAAAAAATGGTTTCAATTAACAAAAAAGACTAATAATGAATGCTAGCTAATCAATGTCGTCATTCCCTTAAGAGTAGCTACTCAAAGTCACCAGATTCTACGCACTTTCAAAAATTATTCCGAATGCATCTGCAAGATTAGCCGTAACCTCTGAAGGATTACGGCAACTGCAACAATTATTTGTGTCATTAAAACATAAAGAAAACTTTTTGACAATGTAATCACCTCTTTCTGATTTATTTACGTTTTGAATAAAATAATTGGTTATTAAATTTTTGTGACTGTTGTTATTGTAGCTGAAAACAATAATATACATTTATTAAAGTCATTTAAATTAATCTACACAGATAAAATTATTACTCATTCATAAATTACACTTAAAAACAATGCTCTAATATACACTCCATGTATAAAATAATCGATTACAAGCTGTATTCATTTTAATTTATCAGAAAAATTTAAAACATTGACATTAATAGAATGATAGGCCTATTACCTGATTTCTTTCAAGCATTCGAGCTTGGTCATCAAAGTAGAATCGTCTTCCATATTCTTGATTTAAAAAATCGTATTATACTGACAGTGTCAATAATGTTTATTCTCAGCTCATAGTGTTATTCCCAAACAACAAACCGCTAGAATACGATACGTCCTCTTCTGGTGAAATTACGAACTAACAAAATTAAAAAATAAAACTAAAAAAAATTGTTTTAATTTAGTGTTATGCAAAATATACATCACATATATAATGTGTTTGGGTTAAATTAAACAGTTTAATTAAATTAACAAAAATATTTTGTAAATATTTTGGATTTTGTTATAAGTTTTGTAAATTTATATCTCTCTTCTAAAACTAAATCTTCCGTATAATCTCAAAATTGATTTCCAAGTGTAGATATAAGGGTGAAGGACATTCAAAATAGTATTTCGCTCTATTAAAAATTTCAATAAAAATAATTGATAACTTGTATAAATTCGGTAAACCTCAGGCCCACCAGTGGCCAAGCGATTCCGTTCCCAAAACACTAGTTCAGTTGTGGGTTTGCGCCTCGCCAGGACGGGCTGGCCACATGAAGTTTACAGGGTTTTCTCCACGTCTGTAACGACTGAAAAGGAACCAGTTAACAATCAAACAGTATACTTCAAGTAATTTCTGTGCTGCTCTCTTTCCGCTTGTTATCAGTAAAAACTTACTATCACAAGCGTCAATATTAAGCATGTAATTTTTTTTTACACATTGTATATTTTCATTGCAAAATACAGATATTGAACGTATGAACGTGGAGAATATTCGCATGTATAAAAGTACAATAATGTGTACCGTATTTACTCGCATATAAGACGTTTTTATTCATTTTTCATTACTTCAATAACCTAGGTCAGTGTTTTTCAACCGGGGTGCCGCGGCACCTTAGAATGCCAGGCGCCACGATTGGGATGTCGCAAAGTTTAGGGCCTTTAGGCATTTTCTTGGAAATTTACTTAAGTATAGTTCAAGATAACTCATTATCAGTTCTATTTTGCTACGAGATATCTAGTAAGCAAAGAAACTATGACTAATCGCGTGTTAATGTAATGTTCTACGCTACGTGTACGCACGACTTGTCACGAGTTCGCCCAAACCACATTGCTTGGCCTTCATGTTCCCAGTCCCAGTACCGGGCCAACCACCAGAGAAGAACGACGCGGACACTTGTGTCTTGTATATGCTTTAAAAAGCGTTACATTGTACTTTGAAAAGGGTGTGCTTTCAATCACAAAGTAGGTGCATGTTACAGTATTTTCATAGTACAGTATTCAAAAGCAGTGATGACAAATAAACAATTTTTTATCATTTTTTTAATTTAAATTTTTTAAAATTGATATGAAAAAGATAAGAACAAAATAATGAAATATTTATTTTATATATGCATCAAAATAGTATAAAAAAATGTGACAATAATTTTTTATCGATAAAATGATAATATAAAATGATGATGTATTTGATAATAAAACTATATTTAAAAAACAATAACGAGACTATTGTTTTACATGTAGATATTTCGACAAAATTCAATGGACTTAAATTTTGATTTTGAACACGTAGAAACACTTTTGCGTTGCGCGTAATATTCGTTTTCGCAAAAAATTCATCTGGCCCATTAGTCCCCCCTTATTCAGATTCTAGATCCTCCGCTGGTCAAGGGTGTCACGATTTGTTATTTTTCAATTAGGTGTGCCACTCAATGAAAAAGGTTGAAAAACACTGACCTAAGTCATCCTATAACGCGAGCGAAGAATTCATTTCGTTTTTGCAATAATTTCTGTAAACAGTGTATTCGCATTTTTTACCGGATTCTCACTTTCTGGTGTTTAAAAACAAAAGTATTTCATCTGGGTCGTTTGAATCGTTCTTGTGTATTATCAGGAGTAAAGATGAATAGCAATAGGAAAAGCAAAGCTTTTGAACTGAATTCCAAAATTACACGAGAGCCCGATATAAGTTTTTATTCATTCCCACGTGAAAATAGATGATTATTTGGAAATCAAATTCAGAGAAACTCATAAGTGTAATCGACGAAGAGTGAATTCGATTGTTAAGAATTGGCAAAAAAAGGTTCCCAATAATTGTCCAGCTTTACATAAACAAATTATGTTGTTATAAATTGTGATATTTTTAAAGTTTAAATACAAGAAAAACTTTCTTTTTGACATGAGAATTTTCATTAACTTTTATATTAGTTGGCAACACTACTGAAAATGAAATATCTAAGAACACGTGGTTGAGTCGTATTAAGAATTTCGAAAGTAAACAAGGTAAAGGTTTATTCCACATTGTCGTTTTTGCTAAATTTTTATTAAATAAATAACATATTTTGTTTTGTTAGTGAAATTTCAAAATTCCGATGGATTTTAACGTTGAAAAGGAAGGCGCAGAACAAAGTCGACTAGGGCTTGTAAATAGTATGACAGAAGATATGAATTTCAGAACACCCTTTTGTTTTTTATATACAAAATCTGGTAGTGTTCCGCATATAACACGTGAAGTACTTCAATTTTTAAGTGAAAAGCAAATACCATTATTATTGCCCTTACCCAGTATAGTGGAATTAAAGAATGCTGTTATGAATTATGATCAAAGTCTTTGCAAATTTGTTGGTCTTAGTGAATATCCAAGTTTTATCAGTGTACAAGATCCGGCAGTAGTAACACCATCTGGTTATAACAACAAAAGTGGTGTTTCTGTATGGAAACATTCAGGTCGTGAGCATTTACATCCAACTGCTTTTATGGAAATTCAAGAAGTATTTACACCACATTGCTATCAAGCTCTATGTGACAGTGATACTCCTCGGAATTGTTCAAAGAAAAGAATGCACCATTCTGTACAACGTTCTCTTTCTTTTCTTGACAGTTGTTTAGAAAGACATTTATCATCGCAAAAATTAAAAAATAGTTCAATTTTTGGAACTGTACAAGGTGGATATGACCTAAAAGCACGAGAGTTTTCAGCCCGTGAAACGGCATTGAGACCTGTTACAGGTTTTATTATAGATGGTTTTCACCAGAATGGTGAAGAAGCAGAAAAAATTAATTTGACAGAAGTAAAACCAATATTACAAAGTACTGTTTCATTATTACCAAAAACAAAATTGAAAATGATGTTTGGATCATTTAAACCATCCATTGTTGTGGAATTTGTATTATGTGGAATTGATGTATTTGATGCATCATATGCATATTTAAGTACTGAGAGAGGAAAAGCTCTTGTATTTCCTTTGACGTGGAAAGATTCAAAATTTACATCTCCTGAAATAGATCTTACTTGTGATGAATATAAAGACAATTTTAATTCTTTGTTGACAGACTGTAAGTGCTACACATGCAGAAACTTTACTTGTGCCTATATACATCATTTATTAAGTACATCTGAATTATTAGCCTCTGTATTACTGATGCTTCATAATTTGCATCATTACTTGGAATTCTTTACATCAATTAGAAATGCAATTGAACAAGAGAAATTGAAAGATTACAAGAATGTCCTATTGAATGCTTATATATAGTTATTCAATTATGATTTTCAAATATAGTTAAAATTGTTTTCTCTGAAGGATCTTTATTTACAAAGAATAAAATACTAAAATATTGTTTATCTTATTACATAAGTCAGTATTCTGAGATTTATATGAAATTTAAGCACAGTAATATATCTATATATATATATATATATAAAAATGGACATGTATGTCCCTATATCTCACGTTTTCGCCAAAACTACACATCGCACGTGAATGGTGTTTGTATGTAGTGGTAGCCCCAAGTCTCCATTCGTGCATAGGGGTGGTTGCGTCTCGATAGCTATAAGGGTGCGGGAGATATGAGGCTAAAAGTAGTTGAAAGTGGCTTTCTATTTCGAATGTTTTGTTCGATTTTTTCGAATTTGTTCGAATTAAATTCGAACATAAAATTCGAATTGGTTCGATTATAAAACGATTAAAAACGTTCCAGAAACGTTGAAATTTGTTCGTTTGACTAAAAGTAAAAATTCTCTAATTAGTCTGGAAACGGGGGACCTAATTCTCCATTTTGTGAAAATGGGTAAGATTAGCTATAATGTAATTATCTTAATCTTCACTATCGTTACTTTTTGCCCAGCGAAGCGAGTCCTTGCAGCTAGATTCTAGATTACTCAGAAAAACAGTCTTTTATATATATAAAAAAAACTATACTATTACATACAAATAAAAACCCAGCGAAGCGGGATCTTGCAGCTAGTATTAATATAGTTTTTGTAATTTTTACGAAAATATGATAGTTGTTAAATTTAATAATAACTATTAAAGTGAAAAATCAAGAAATAAAAGTATTGTTATTGTTAATTTGAATTATTGACTAATTTTAATGGCTACACAGCAAGTCACAATGCATCCATTTTCTTTATTATGCATTTTGGCTGTATAACTCAAGTTTTCTTATCTGTTTTCTTATTTCTATACAAAAGTTCTATTTAGTTTTTGTTGTTTTATATAAATAGAAGTTTGTATTAAACATTAAAAAATTGAATTACATTAATATTAGTTGAAACAAAGAAATTTAAATATATTTTTGATTTGTTTAACAAATCAATGTAATTAGAAGTTTTAATTTGTTGATCAAATTGAAAATCTTTTAATCGTTTAAATGCTTTCTATTCATCCATCCAGTATGTTTTTAAATGTTAAGTTTAATCCAATTTCAATGATTTAAAAAGAAGTTCCTACTTCTGTAAAAATGTTATTTATGAAAGAATGAGTTATTCTCATAGAGAGATTTGACATTTAGCTACATTCTTACATATACATGACTGAAATTTAATTTTTAATTTATAGAATAATTAGTAATTTATAGAAAACTTATAATGAAATACAAGGAAAATAAAGTTTTTATTTTGAAAAATACTTCATAAGTATTTTTCAAAATAATTCAAAATTTTATATGTGAGACAATATAAAATTTACAAAATTGAATATTTGTAATGTTATTACAGTTGAATCCACTTCACAGCATAAAGGAGCAGTTTACATAAGAGAGTGCTTGCCCATGTTCTTGATTTTCTCTCCTGTTTTATATTAGTAGTATTCTTGTTAATAGAGTATTGGATAGTAGAGCAGTTCATTTATATGAGCATTGTGTCAATAGGATTTTTAGAGCAGCAGTTCAAATAAGGGAGCACTATTCTAAGGATGATTTATAATGATGTATCTTTAATCTTATGGTACATTGCCAACAAGGGTCCATTCAGTATAATATTTGTTGAGATTTGGTGAAATCTAATACATAACAGTCAAAAGATTTTTTACAGAATCATAATGAACATATGAGAAGCAATTATTGATTTATTGGATATATATATGAGAAGTAATTACATATTAAAAAAGCTATAAAATACATATATGCTGTAGCTCCTCATCTCAAGTAAACAAGGTAAGTGATTAGTGACCATATTTTGGAAGTCACATGACTACTTTCAGTTGGTACTGTATGTTCCATTAGAGAGCATTCAGAAATTTTAGAGAAGAGACATTCACATCTTTTCAGCTAGGTCGTCTGTATTTCTGAGAAGAAAAGTAATGTGACTGGTAAATATGTCATGTTTATTGATTAATAGAACAATAAAATTGATGATATAAGAATAGAAACCAATATGTAAGGTAAAGTAAAATTATGTGATAATGAATTTTAACATTTCCATATGTATTAGAAGTTAGAGTTCCTGAGACATGAAAAAGTGGAGAAAATCAAATATTAACAATCTCCTGGGTGATCTTGTTATTTTGGATAAGGGAGCATGATATAGTAATTCTGAGGGTGCTCTTTTAAACAGTCTCAACTGTATAAATTCAGAGACAACTTTACACATTATAGTTTAAAATCTACATTAGTGCTGATATTCTAGTGTTACACTATATATGTTCTCATATAAATGAAACAACATTAATTGCATATTTTTATGTAACAAATATAATAATAAGTAAAGAAATGATTAATATTTTAGATTATATTTTTTAAAATATTAATGGGGCACCTATGACAATTTCATGACATACTACTCTCACAACATACCAGTTAGAATTATTGCTTTTGAGGAATCGTCAATTTTAACATGGTTATGATGTATTTTGTTTCATTTATATTTATTAAAATTTGCATATTTGGTATCTTGGCTCATGTTGATTTGTTAGTTTTATTTGTTTAATGTTAATTAAAGAGTGCAAAGAGTTTATTTGAACCATTTTATTCAATTTATTCTAAGTTATAGAATCACTAAAATTGTTTTAACATTATATGTTCAAAAACCTTTTATTTAATGTAAATTTTTTGACAGATTTGCATTTCTTACAAAATTAATTTTGAATTCAAATATATTAATAACAATCTTAGAAAATCCTGACATATTTGAATTCAGAGTTAATTTTGTATAAAAATGTAAACATAGAATAAGACTTCCTAAGCAGACATGAATTATTTTTGAAAAATACAGATGAAAAATTTACTTGTAGTTAATTACGAGTTAATGTTTGAAAGTTTATGAGATTATAAATCAGAATTATAGCAAAAGAGAAGAATCTTTTCTTCTCTTTTGCTATAATTCTGAAGATTGAATTTAAAGTATTAAAATGTCTTAAGAATTTTTTAAGATAAAATAAACAATAATACTAATAAAAATAGTATATACCTTAAGTTTAAAGCTATTTAGTCAGTCTGTTTTATAAAAATAAAGAATTGTTTTAATATATACTTTAATTTTCTGTCTAGAAGTTTCATAATCCAGCATGCAAATTAGAAAGTAATTTTGTATTATATAATATTGAATGGTCCTGAGAGATATTGTAAAAACTTACTTATGATTTTAATGATGATTAAATTTATGAAATTTTAGATCAACAGCTTGTATCAATAGTTACAGCTGGCACAGTATGAGATTACTACAGATCAGAAGTTGAAATTTTCTACTTTGCAATTTTCTTTTCTATCTTCAGCACTTGGTAAAAGTAACTTAGAATATATTTTCTAAAACAATATTTTTGGAATGTATGATAAAAATAGGCATCTTATAGAATATAGGATGAGCCAAACCTTGTCATTTCTGGTGGAAGTGTGTCAAAGAGTTAAGTGAAAATTAGTGGACATTAATGACATATTTAGTTTTATGTCATCTTAATTAATATAATAAAAGATATACAGTACCAATTCCTGATCACTTTTAAATTGACTACTTTGGCAAATTGTCAACCGATATATTAACATTGCAATGTTTTTGTTCTTGTTAATAATCTAGCAGTATTTTGTTTTACATCCAAGTAAATTAAAAATAAATTATGTCTGCATTCTTCTTGAAACTTTTATTCTCCCTGCCCCATTGTCCTAGTTTTTTCCAAGTTTCCATAACCCCTTCCCTCTGCAGATAGCCAACAAAACTCAACTCCCCTTTAAAGTTTTATCATTTTATGAACTATAGATATCATATGTAGAAACAATGGAATTACATCCATATTGCTCATATAAGATTGTAACCTTTCTAGTAAAATATAGTAGTGTTTTCATAATAACTCAATTTCAAAATAAACGTGTTATCTTCAGAAGTGGAGAAAATAGAGCAGGACATTTTGCAGAGGTTACCTTTTATATGACCTATTCTTTGGCCATACTTAATTGATTGTTTAAATAGTAACCTTTGCATATTCTTTTTAAAATCTTTTTTATAAAATTTGGATTAATTTGTTTAGTTTACATTTGACCAGATGCCTGTCAAGGAGGTCACATTTTGAGGGACAGATCAAGAAAGGTCATTGGTCAGAGACACAAGAGTAAAGTTCTGAATAGAAGAATCAGTCTATCTTGATTGATCCAACTCAAGTTTGTCTTGACAGCCACCTTTCATTAGTTGCTCACTGTCTGCATTGCTAATTCTTTCCTCGGATACACCAGTCATTCTCCTACAATCCCTTAGTGTGATTATTATCCACTCTCTGCCAGTCTTTGCCATGTCATCCTTCAGATTGACTCTTCTTCGAGATCATCTCAAGTATTTTCAAACTATTGCTGGGTGGTGCCAGAATCCTGAAGTAATCTTCCCACAATAGTTAGACATGATCACTTGGCAGGTTGGTTTGTGTGCATAGGCTTTGTTGCTTGGGACCTATGTATGTACAGTACAGTAGTAATATTTTCATGAAGTTTATAAAAAGGTAATCAAAAACCCACCAAGTTTATACCATTCAAGAATTAAATAGCCCAAATTCCTTTGGATTAAGGTCAACCTATAAAGATTTCTCCACCATGTGGTGTACTGTACATCTGTTTAAAGATAAGTAGATCAACATTACAATATGTTAATTTGCTAATAATGTTTAAAAATGAAAACACTGCATACTCTTGTTACCTGATCAAGAGAAGTATTTTGAAAAAACTCTTAAAAAAGAAGTATACAAGAAATTTTGAAATAAATATAATAAAATGCATAAACTATAAAATTTAATGAAATGAAACAGATGTCCACTGAAGTACAATCCCTCATTTCCTCCTCCTCCTCCAACTTCATCCAACTTGATATAACCCTTTCCCATAGAGTAAGTGAAATGATCATTGATTAATAAAATTGTAATATATTGATATTTACAGATTAAACTTTTTTAACTACACATTAAAATTTTATTATGATTTAGAAATCAAAGTTTTC